CTTCACCACGTTTTCCACGGCGTAGCAACATTCGGACCGGAGAGTCGTCTCGGCCTCCTGCGTCGCCTGCACGAGGGCGAGGGCGCCCACAGCGAGGATCTGGCGGTCGCCGACGGTCACCGCGAGTTTGCCGGCGGGCCCGGGTTTGACGCTGGACAGCGTGGTCGGCACCACCCGCTCGTCGCTAGGGATGAACGACGCGGGCGCGGCGGGGGTCTCGAAGAGGCGGGGCTCGGCGACAACGATGAACAACTTCGGCTTGCCGTCCTTGTCGGGCGCACGGCGGATCCGAACGTGGGCCCTGGAGCAGCTGAGGCAGCCTTTGGCAGCCAACTCAGTGAACTTCGCGAGCGTCTGTGCGTTCGTGATCTTGAGCGCGGGGTCGTGCGTCAGCGAGGCCGTCGCGGTGGCGGAATAGTCGGACACGGACACCTGGGTGAACACCCTGTCGCCTTTTTGGGTGAGAAGGTTCTCTGCGTCGTCGAAGGCCACGATAACGGCAGGCACCTCGAACACTTTCTCTGAGGAGTCCTGCCTGTCGTTCAGGGACTCCAGGACGTCGTCGATGTTGGCATCCTGGGGGGAGGGGGGAGGAGAGCCAATGCTGTTATTTTGGGATGGGGGTGCTACCACGATCGCCTGCTTTTTGTGGCGACGGGGTGGGGGTAATAGGGTAATGTCCGCTCCTATTCCTACCCTATCACCTGTGTGTTTTTTGCAACGTCCCCGACGGGCCCCGGTCCTCCGCGGGCCCCGCCGTGAAGTCCTTGTCCACCATCTTGCTGAGGTTCGTCAGGTCCGAGTCGGAGGCGGTCTTCTCCCGGAGTCCGGCTGCGATGAGCTCCGCTGCTTTTGGCATGGTGTCTTCCGCGATCACCGTGATGGTGTCCTTGCGCGGGGTCAAGTGCATGCCCCCCGACTTCTCCTTCGTCAGGTACGCGCCGAAGAGGTAGATGACCTTTTTCTCGGCGTCCTTCGGGACGGCTGGCAGCATCTCCTCCCAGAAGGTGTACGGCATCGCGCCCTTGGTGGCGTCCGTCAACGTGAGTTGGATCAGGGCTTTCTCCTTCTTTACCTCCTCCTCTCCCACTTTCAACACGTACCCGTAGCAGTCCACCACCTGGGACGTGGAGAACTGCAGGAGCGCTGATACCGGCTGGTGTGGCTCGACGTGCTTCGGGATCTTCTCCGCATCGGCGCCCTTCAACGTGGTCGCCTTGAGACCACTCGCCCCCAGGTTGACCACCCACCCGTGGGGGCACCCGTGGAACTTGTCTGTCTTCTTTTTGGCGGACATATTCGCCAGAGTCCAGCACGACTGAGCCGGCCATTTTTTCATCAGCGCATCGGCTGTTTTTTTCCGGTGCTTGTCGTCCCCGAAGATTACGTCCTCCCCGATGGTGTACACGCCGGTGGAGGACACCAGGTGCACCGCAAACACGGTCATGGTCGCCGTCGGGGTCTTCACGACTGGGTTCAGGATGCGCACCTGGATGGTCTTGCTTTTACTGTTGGCCCCGTTTAAGGATTCCAGCGCGTCCGCCATCGCAGGCTCTGGCGGGTGCGGCAAAGCCTACAGTAGGCAACCCGGGTGCGCAGGATCTCCAGGTGCTGAAACAGCTTCGGTGTACGAGATACGGCGACGACGCGAGAGGTGGACGCAGGTTCCCCCACGCGATGGGGCCAATCATTGCTGGACGCTAATGCAGCAGGGCCCCTGGCTTAGACCTTGGAAGACGCCTGCGGGGCTCCCACAAAAGAGAGAGCGCAAGGGAGGACGTCGCCGGGACGCCACGGACGAGGGGGTTGCTGGAGGAACGCGTGGCGGCCAAGAGGAAAGCAACCTCGCAGGCGTGCCAGCCCCAGCGCCCAGATGGGGAAGGCGACATCGACAAGAGCAACGCCATTTCCGTGGCACACGGCAGGATGCACTGCGCGGTTACCACCGCGAGCACGCAGCGAATTACGAGGCGCCGCGGAGAACATGCGACTAATTATGTGGGCGGGTCCGTGCACGCGGCGCCGGGCCGCTCTCTGGACCCGCCGCTGGCGTGGAAGGCTCTCCTCTTTGGAGCGGGCTTCTTCGTTTTAGCAACCTGCGAATAGCGGCGGGCCGCCGACACGTCCCAGTATCCGCTTGCTGTGTACGAGCTGTTCCATACCGATAGTTCGGGGGCGTGCCGCAGATGAAAAAGGTGCTTGAGGCCATCCTGCTTGCTAAGTACTCGCAAGCTGTCCCCTGGGAGGGCAGCGGAAAACACAAGACCTGATCGCTATGACGTTTGCCACACTGTCCCTGAGTGCCCGCATCGCGGGGGCATTGCCTGCATTGTGGGTGGTGACGAAGGGCGGCGGCGTTCAAAAGAGGGCTGAGGAGGGCAAGATCACCTAGCCCCCGTCGGATCAACACAGCCTCAGAGGCGTTCAGCATGGGCCCCAGACGGTCCAAGATGGCGCCAAGACGGCCCAACAGGCTTCGGAGACGGCGCCCATACGGGGCTTGAGGGTCCCGCGGCGGTCCATGCCGGCTCAGCTCCGAGGGGGGGCGAGGAGGAGGGAAAGGAGGAGGAGGGAGAGAAAGAGGAGGAGGTGGAGGAGCAGGAGGAGAAGGAGGAGGAGCAGCAGGAGGAGGGGGGAGGAGGGGTATGGGAGACAAGCTAGGTGCGTTCGCGCCACATCTGACATCCTATCTTTCCCTTTCGTCCACCCCACTACGGAACTTATCTTATTAATGGGATCGGAGGCCAGATTCGACATGAGTGCCTATCTCCTCTGCCGAGGTGCGCGAAAGGCAAAGAGTCCGTGCGGGGCCGGAGCAAAGAATGGGTGGAAGAGTAGGAGGAGGAGGAGGAGGAGCAGGAGGAGGAGGAGGAGGAGGAAAGAGGAGGAGGACGATGAGGAGGATAATGAAGAACGATGAGGAAACCTGATGACGAAAAAAAGGAAGAAGAGGAGGAGGAGGAGGAGGAGGAGGAAGATTATGATCTCCGACGATGGAGACGAGGAAGAAAAATGAGGAGGAGAAAAACGATGAGGAAAAAACAGGGAACAAAGGAGGATGGGAATGATGATGGGGAGGGGAGGGGAGGAGGAGGAGGAGGAGGAGGAGGAGGAGGAGGAGGAGGAGGAGGAGGAGGAGGAGGAGGGAGGAGGAAAGGGGAGGAGCCCCAAGGAGAGGCTGAACTCATGGTTATTTTGGTATGTTGTTGAAGGGTGTTCGGAATTTCTTCGTCTCGGCCTTGGGACGGTTCAAGATAGTTCCGTATCGCCCCACGATCGCCCGAGAGGCCTCCTAGATGTCCCCGTCACGGGCCCAAGAGGCCTCCAAGACGGCCCCAAGAGGGTGTCAAGACGGCCAGGGAGGCCGCCAAGACGCCCAAAATGGCCTCCAAGACGGCCCTGAAACGTTCCAAGAGGGCCCCAAGTCGGTTGAGAGAGGTCCCAAGACGGCCTCCGACGGCGTCAGACGGGCCAGAAACGTCCTAAGTAGGCCAAAGGTTTCCCCGACAAGCTCTCGAAGGGCCCCAAAGAGAGCCAAGGAGGCTCCCAAGAGGCCCCCTAGAGGGGTCCTCCTCCTCCTCCTCCTCCTCCTCCTCCTCCTCCTCCTCCTCCTCCTCCTCCTCCTCCTCCTCCTCCTTCTCCTACTCCTATATCGCTACGCGATCAGGCAGAGTCTCCAGAGTCTCCTTCTCCTACTCCTTCTCCTCCTTCTCCCTTTCCTGATCCTCCCCCTGCTGCCCGCAGAGTCCAGAGCGACTGGGGTAGTACATAGTCCGGTAGCTTGGCCAAGCCCAAGCTGGGGCCAAACGTTTTTGCTACAGGGGCGCTTCCTCAAAACGCACGGGGGACGGTGATCCGGCGCAGGCGTCTGCGATAGCTTTCATATTGCATCATCGACGACGACGACGACGACGACGACGACGACGACGACGACGACGACGACGACGACGACCGACGACGACGATGACGACGACGACGACGACGACGACGAGGACGAGGACGACGACGACGACGACGACGACGACGACGACGACGACGACGACGACGACGACGACGACGACGACGACGACGACCCCGGAGGTCTGGACACCTTTCCTTTGAGCAGTTGTTTGTACCAGATCGGACGGATCGGACGGTCCAAGACGGGCCAAGAGGGCCCCAAGAGCGCCCAAGAGGCCTCCCAGATGGCCCCGTCACGGGGCCAAGAGGCCCCCAAGGCGGCCCCAGGAGGGCGTCAAGACGGCCGAAGAAGCCTCCAAGACGCCCAACATCGCCTCCAAGACGGCCCTGAAATGTCCCAAGAGGGCCCCAACTCGGTTGAGAGAGGGCCAGACGGCTTCCGACGGCGTCAGACGGGCTGGGATCGCCCTAAGACGGCCAAAAAGTTTCCCCGAGAAGCCTTCGAAAGGCCCCGAGACGGCCAAAAGGCTTCCAAGAGGCCCTCAGAAAGCTCCCAGGGGGCCCAAAGAGTGCCCCTAGAGGCTCTCCAGAGGGGCTCTCTTCCTCCTCCTCCCCCTCCTCCTCCTCCTCCTCCTCCTCCTCCTCCTCCTCCTCCCTCGCCTGATTCTCCCCCTGCTGCCCGAAGACTGTCCAGAGCGGCTGGGGTAGTACATAGGCCGGTGGCTTGGCCAGGCTGGGGCCCAACTTTTTGCCACAGAGGCACGTCCCTAAAACGCAGGGGGCGGCGGTGATTCGCCGTAGGCGTCTTCGATGGTATTCACATTGAAGAGTCGACGACGACGAAGACGACGACGATGATGACGCCGATCTCTTCCTCCTCCTCCTCCTCCTCCTGTCCCTCCTTCTCCTCGTCCTCCTCTCTTCTCCCTCTCCGACCAGCACGAAGGACGCTGGCCGTCCAAGGCGGCTCCGCCGATCCCGGCGCACACTCGGCCGCCTCGGCCCGAGGCCGAAGGTTGGCCTGCCGTGTGCCAGCCTTGTGGGCGCAGGTGGTCTGGGCGTTTCTTCAGCTGACCTCCTTCCTCCCCCTAATCGGGGAGATTCGCATCCCCGCCACCTTGCGTTTGGACGGGGGGGGCGGAGGGGTTAGAGCGTCCAAGACGCCCCCAAGTCCTCGGAAAGCTGAAGGATGGCTTCCAAAATGGCGCAATATACTTCAAGACGGCTCAAGATAGCCTCCTACGCACATCCAAAAGGCTACCAGACGGCTGCAAGACGGCTGCAAGGCCCCCATGAGCCCCCGAACCTGGGCTTCAAAATCACAGGAACATGTTTGGTTTTTGTTTAGCATTCTCACCTTTTCGCATCCGATGGGCTTTCGAGGGCTCAAGATGGCCCCAACACGGCCCAAGATAGCCCCAAGGAGTGGCCAAGAGGGCCTCAATAGGGCCTCAAGAGCGCCCAAGAGCGCCTCAAGAGGGCTCCCAAACGTAATTTTGGAGCCTCCGAGGGGGGGCTTGAATATCCGACTCTCCTCTCTCTGAACAGAGGGGCCCAAGATTGCCCCAACAGGCCTCCCAGACCCCCCTGAAGAGCCTCAAGAGGGCCTCCTAGACCCCGAAAAACACCCCCAAGAGGGACTCAAGAGGCTCTGCGAGGACCCGAATAGAGCCCCA